AAGTAAACTAAGTATTATGGCATGCAAATAAAGCCTATTAAATTATTTTTGCTAAACCAGACAGTACTAAGTGGTAATTAATTTATTCGAATTCGAATAAACATTAATGCAAGGTCATTTGAAAACTTAAGCAAACCATCATAACGGAGGAATTTTCAAATATATTAAAAAGGAAACTTACCTGTGTCCAGAGAACCCACAGATTTGCACAATGAATTAGAGTTCAAACTATTGTCCAAGTACTAAACCCATATTTCATATAATTCGAAATATTTTGTATAGGAATAATACAAAAGTTCCAAATGAGGTACATGCAAGCTAAAAAGAAGTCTAGGAATAGGTATTCAATTTTTATTTATTGTATAGAAGTTGTTTGACCTTGTTTTCGCAACTTGGTCATATTGGGAACGCACCTACTCGGGAGTCCATTGTATGCATGATCATTTCCAAAGTCGGACCATGGACGTGGTACAATCCCAGACGTTTCGCCGGCATCGTCAGTGAGTCTTGCCATTCTTAGCACCACACTAGAACTCGTTAAAGGGACAAGTAAAACCGATCCTTTAACCAAATGTGTGCAAAACAGTTGTGGGATTTCTCATTCTCCTCTCCTATATCACCGTATCACTCCTTCACTATCACCATTTTTTCCTTGTTTATTTGAATGTAGTATGGTGTGCCTTTTTGAGCGGCTTTTAGAAGAACACTCCACACTCCACGTAGGCGTTATCACCCCCCTTCACCCTTGTGCTGGGAATGTTGATCAGAGTCTGCCATATTGTTACGAAGTCCTCCTTCCATAAGGCTTATCAGAGTCTCCCTCTTGTCGCGTAGGATCCGTCTGCTCTCCCTGTTTCAAATATTTCACTCGACCCGTGCCACCCCCTCCCCTGCGTCTGGGTAAATAATTTCAGGCTTAAGCTTCTGAGTAAATCTCATGGTTAAGCCTTTGCTATATGTACCATGTCTCTAGTAAAACGTACTGTCAGCCAACTAGCTCCAGTCTCCTCTGCGTCTATCCTGTTTCTATCCCTAATAACAAATCTATGACTTGCTATGCCCTAGTCTCTTGTGTGCCAGCCCACAAAAGTTGTGGCTCAACATTGAATCTAATCAAAGAAAGCAGTACCACAACATTTGTAGGTTTGCACACAAGAGACTAGGTCATAGCAAGTCATAAACTTGGTATTAGGGATAGAAACAGGATAGACACGGAGGAGACTGAAGCCAGTCGGCTAACAGTAGGTTTTACCAGAGACGTGGTCCACGTAGCAGGGGAGGGCGAATAACGTCTCGAGTAGCACAGATGGGGTAGCAGGGGTCGAGTGAAATACGTGAACCAGAGGAGACGGATCTTACGAGGCAAGAGAGAGACTGTGATAAGACCTAGGGAAGGACTGCGTAACAATATGGCAGACTGATCAACATTACCAGTACAAGGGTGAAGGGGAGGTGAGAACGACAGCGTGGAGTATAAGGGGTTTGCATGAATGCTGCTCGAAGGAGCACACCACACTACATTTAAAATAAGCACAGTAAAAATTGTAAGTGAAGGGGTGATAGGAGGATATTGGAAATGTGAATAGCCCAGGGCAGAAAGGGAGATACCACAACTGTTTAGCACACGTTTGGTCAAAGGATCGGCTTCACTTGTCTATTTGACGAGTTGTTTTGTGGTGCCTATAATGGAGAGACTCACTGACGCTGCCGACTACGATTCCGACGAAATCTCTGGGACTGTACCACGCTCACGGTCCAAGTTTGGAAATGATCATGCATACAATGCACTCCGAACTAGGTGCGTTCCTGGGATTGGATTGGTGAATCAGAAAGATAAGAAACGGATCTACGAGCCCATGAGGGAGATGTATATAGAAGGCCCAGTTGGATAAACAAATCGAGAGGGTTGGGGTGGGGGCAGGGTAAACAGCAAGTCATGACGCTACGCTAAACGCACCAAAAGAGCAGACCAAAAGAAACAAATCATAAGTTGTGATAGGGCGGGAGTGAGATAATGGGTAGATAATGGGCCAGGACAGAAAGAAGGGTGATAGCACAACTGTTTTGGCAAAAGTTAGTCAAGAGATTCACTTCACTTTGACCAGTTTTGGCTTAGTGCAGAGAATGGCAATGATGAATGATAATGCTGACTATAATTTCTGCGAAACGTCTGAAAATGTGCCAAGTCAACGATCCGACGCTTGGACTAGTGATAACTACTATAGGAAAAGACTTCGGGCAAAGTGAGTCCAACTAAATCACACTGACAAAACGGCCAAATTGGGAAAACGAGGTCAGCCCACATCAATAAATCGAAAGCAAACTGCGACCAAAAGATGAGCCATAACATCTGGGTCTTTATATCTAACACAATAGATTGACTAGATTTCGATAGTAACAGTTATTATACAAATAAAATAATTTATGCACTCGGGATAAGAAGTCAGCTACCAAAAGTCCATAAAATTTAGACACTGAGTCTGGATTAAAGGACAAAATACAGGAAAATATAGGCGAGAAGTCTATCGAGAATAATATAATGTAATAAGGGCCTTTGAAGAAAATAAACTTAGAAAGATTAAATGGGTAAATGTTCCCCATAGTTAAGGACAACCAGATCATTTTAAATTCCGGTATAATAACAGGATTTAAAAAAATTGTTTAATATAGTTTTCCTAAATAAGCAGATAACTATTTTATAATAGCAAAATCTAATGAAATGTATATAATTTCAATGTGTTAAAATGTCAAAAGAGGAATGTCTTAATTCTGTAATTTTTACTCGTAATAGACAAGATATATGAAAGATATATTAGCTCTACTTATATACGAAAAATATTAACTAATAAAATATTTCTTCACTACGCCTTACTCATTTTACCTGGGCTAAAAGCATACTATAGAAGATATGATAGAGATAGATAGCTAAGAAGCCAGTTCGATTAAAAAGGTAGCTCATAAATCAATAATAATCATAGAGAAGCAGAATCTCGAATAAGAAATAATACTATAAAAATTATACTATGTTTGATTATTTAGTTGACGGCTAAGTGGTTGAGAGGGGTTTTGATCGAAGAGCATAAAGAATGAGCCGCAAGGAATTACTTAGAATGTGAATTAGTGAATATGAACGAAAATAACTAAAGGATTTACCGGACTAATATGAATAGACTGAAAAAAGTCATAAACAACTGTAAAGGGATTGTCAATAGAAGGCCATTACAACTAAAGTTCTATTTCTATTACTTTGACGCATAAAGCTATTTGAAGTATTAAATTATACTTTGAGCAATAAAATAATGCTAATATTGCAATAAATTTCCAATATAGAATCGAAACAGTTTGTACTCAATATGCTACCTAACCAACAATGTAAGCCTAGACTAGACAAAATAAATTCAGCTCTGGTTTAAATGGCTAACAAAACAACGCTTATTAATCGAGTTTGTTTGATACCGGCAGACATGTATCGTAACCTTAATTGATCAGGAGGAAATATTATCATTTCAACTTATTTTATTTGTAATTATCTTAATTCGGGTTGAGTAATTCCAAAGAAGAAAAGCAGCTATTGTGATAATGTCTGAAATAGATTAAACCCTTTGATAAACCGAATTTCATTATAGAGAAGAGTTAACCCAGAATAGATCACAAATTGAATAAGATACAAGTACAGCACGGTTGAATCAATGTCCATACTACTTGAGGGAAGTTAAAAAACATGATGATATCATCACCAAACAATGAAAAAAAACGTGTACACAACAGGAAATATTGAATATAATTTTATCCGGTATGTATCCTAATTCGAGCACCCATATACTCAAGTGTTATGGCTAGCAAGGTCGAACAGCTTAACCCATAAAAATCCATTATCTATTTAGATAATAACTGTATAAAAATGCACGCTGATTCCAAGGCAAATCAAATTATTTCCACGAAGGGGACTTAATGAAGGTGGTAATCAGATATTTCAGGAGTGTCAGGTATAAAGAGTCACGTAGCCAGGCTTTAGCTGGTTATATGAGCTCTGAACGCATCGATTCGCTCAGCCCACGTATCTACCTGAAGGCGTTCGGCAGAGCTGGCCAGGGAAATGATGTACGAGTAGCCAATCAAACCGCCAAAAACTCGTTAGTTGGACAAGGCAGCCGGTCAGTTAATGAAATATTCAACTATTTATTCATGTAGTAGCGCGTCTATCCGGTCGATAAGGAGAACTAAGGTTAGTTGATGGCCAACTACTCATGCATTTGATCAAAAACCTAATAACTCGACCGATTTAGCAGGGGCAAAATAGAAACGAATGTAACAAATAGCCGAGTATGTAACAGTAAAAAACCTAGATCATCCAATCTACTCACTAAATAATGAAAGTAGTTAAGCTGTAGTAATATGGTCCAAAAGTCTAGCTCACTTGATCTTTTGAGTCCCTTTAAGCAATGCCGGACATATTTTGAGCTCCATCCTTAATTTAAGACTCACTAAACCTTAGCGGTGTTGAAATTTTTAGAGCTGTCACCTTGTTGAAATGTACTCAGTGCAGTTCTTTGAAATCTGTCTAGCTGATTCTACTCCTTTAATTATGAGATATCGTTAGGGTATTGCCAGCGAATATAGACTTAAGTTTCACTCACTGTCTCGCAAATCGTAGATCGAACGCAAAATATTTTAAGCAACTAAAAAAGAACAATTGTCTAACATAGTACCTCCCAACGTGGCACGCGTCACGCCGCAACAATAGCATCTCTCCACTAACCGCTTGAGGCCAGCATTAGCGTTTGGTATTTCTGGGAGTACTAAATCAAACTCACTTCGCAAGGTCCAGCTAACCCACTTGTATACCCTTTTGTTGCACACATATCACCTACATTTCAGTCTTTTTCACTGATAAGGTGGTGCCTGGATAAAATAGCACCTAAAAGAATTTTAGAGTCAAACTCCCAAAAAATCAAAGTACGAAATAATTTATGACAATACTTAAGGTAAAAATCCATTTAGTTTAATGAATGGAATAATGTCGCAAAATGAAATGAACTATAAGCCAAATGGTGGATTAAAAAGT